TTCGTGTGCAAGCTGCTAGACTGAAAAACAAATGAACCAGTCAATCGTTAACCCCAATCATAAGCTCGTTGATTAGTATATCCAGGCATTTGTACGAGCAGCGAAACTAAAAAACGGGGAGGATAATATGAAAATACATACTACATGGATAACATGTAAATTCACGTTGTAGAAAATAAGCTTTTACCTGCGTGTATAGACGAAAAAAGTTTTTGTTTAGAAGAGCTCTTTGCAAAGCCTGGTAAAAAAGCAGAGACTTCGCAGGAAGTTACATAATATCGGTCTGGGTTTAAGAAAGGAACATTCCTTAATCTTCCCTCCTTTCATTTAGGTCCGCATCATACATTTGGCCGTTACTTTCCAAAATTTCTTGCTCTAACGTGATCTCGATTCGTTTAAACGCTGGACGTTCGTTGGGATCCAGTTCCCAGCAGGAGCACATAAGTTGATAAAGGCCTGCGGAACACTTGAATCCGCAAAATTGTGGGTTCTTCAGCCGTTTTCCCGAATTCAGAAAGTCCTTGATCGCGTCTTTATCAAGGCCTGTAATTAAATAAATATTTATCTTATAATTGTCACCAAAAGGCACCTCCAAGAAACTATTTTGAATTAAGAATTCCAGTTGTGAAATCTGGAGGCATTTCTGCAGGTTAAAGGTACAGTAATCATTTATTTTAAAGAGGTTAGTTTAGCCCATCATAATTGGCTTCTTATAAAACCTTTATTACCACCATTCACCCCATTATACGAAAATTTGCTTTGCGTTCTCTGATTTAGGCCACATGTCGAGTCCCCAGCCTGTCCAAGTTAGATATTCGGGACTAACTCTTTTATTTAACGATCTTTATATTGCAGAATATACATACGTGTCAGTTGACTACGTTGATTGCATAGCCTACATTAAAGAATATGCGTTTTCATTTGCGGTAAATAATACGAGCAAAACACGCATACATAACTCCATGAAGCTAGCGATAGGGCACTTAAAAATTGGCTCCGGTTACAACAGCCTGTACATGTGCCGCACTGATCTTATGAGTCTCAGAACCAAACTGTGATGATTCTGATCTGTATGTTCACTCTTGAGCACAGAACCTATTTGTGCGCGTTTCTTTTCCCGATATTAATCATTTATTAATTATCTCTATTAATTAGCCTTAAGGGCTACATGAATATTTTCATCATGCAGTCAACATAACTTCATCTGAACTAAGAGCGAAAACTGTAAGTTGAGCATGCTGTGTCGTTTACAGCTGGCAAGCCTAAATGTGAGTAGTACTTTTAAAAGGTCAAGTTCTCACAGTTACCGCTGCGCACCTTCATACGGCGTTTTTCCGTAGGTAAGAACCTCATATGCTAGGACTCCAAATGACCAGACGTCGGCTGTTGTTGAGGGCTTATAGCCCGGAACCATTGCTTCAGGCGGTGTCCATCGAACAGGGAAAGCGTGGCTTTCTAA